TCAGCTTGTTGAAATATAAAATGCTTCGACCTTGCTATATTCGAAATGCCGACATGCTATAGTGGGTTTTTCTGGATTAAGTGTTTATACTTAATTCATTATATATATACTATATATATATAATGAAGTATAAACACTCAATCCAGAAAAACTCTCTATAGCAATTAAGACAAATTCGTAAATTGAAATAAACTAAAGCAACTCATAATAAACAGCAGTACGAAAGTTATTATTGAGAAAATAAATACCTTAACAAAACTTTTGTCCGAAAATACGAAGCTGACTATGCAACCGACCAATTCGGAGAAATTTACACGTGGAATGATTGCCGACTCTGATATTACCACATATGCAAAATATTTTGTTGCATTAACCTGTCGTTGACCATTGTGCATGCAAATCATTTATGAACTGTAATGCTTAGGGCAGCGATTTTCGTTGAGTAATTTGCATGGTGCACTGTGCGTCGATATCATTTTAGTGTGAGTTGTAAGAACAGTCGGCAGGAAAAAAATGTCAGAAATGTCTCAAAAACTGCACGTGATATGAACTGAAAACAGTCACAATGTTGAAAGCTTCCAAAAGCGTTATGGCTGGAAAATCGTTTAAGCTCAACGAGTATTTGTTAAGCTGAGAAGTGGTCGGGGTCGGTTTGCTAGTGTTGTGACTGCATGGCGAACATATGATACTCTCAGCGAGCCCAGATTTCATATTGTCCCAAATTTGGTTGCATATGCAGTTTAAGATCTGAATGCCAATTTCGCCAGTTCAGCTGCCCTGTTGAGTGATCCTTTGTTACGTTGCTGTTTTTCATCGAACGTGCATTCAGTCTGATGTTTTTTCCGCGAAACTAGGTGCTTCACGAATTGAGAGGGTTACTTTTAGGCTTCGAGCAGATTAGCTTTTAGCATTTTCATTCAACCGGAGCCTGTTGTAGAGGAGGGAATTTCCCTCATTCATTTCTTTCTAAACTTTGTTGCAAATTTAAATTTGATAATGGCTGCAACTGCAAGTCTGACTGTCGATTGCAAATATGGATGATTCAAATTTCGCGCTTGTTTATTCATTGATTCATCTTCAATACAGGTTGCACATATGAAGTCGTTGAGGAAGCTGCTTCAGGGGCATTTGCAATGGATACCGTCTGCCGTCAAACAAATAAGCCTCATGTCCTTGATTTTAACACACAACATTTCTGTAAAATCGACCCATCTGGTGTACTCTCTTTTCCTGGGTCATATTCATATGTTAAAACATATTCATATATTCAATTTGTTGAATATATTGCATATATTCAAGTTGTTAAGAGAATTTCTGTTGCTAGTCTCAAGTGTGATATGTCCAAATTGTTGTAGACATTATCTTATAAACTGGAGAAGGAGCGCCTCAAATTGAGTGTGTCTTGAACTGATGTTTTCCAGCCTCGTTACACCAAGAATTTTTCGAAAAATCTCTTTTAACTATGCCATTGTGTCCGCCCTTTCTTGTGTTTCGTTTAACTGATGTGTTCTGTCATTTAATTACCTTCGGAGTGATACGGGACAAAAGAAGTAGAGAAATAAATTCAGAGATGCTAACTTTAGTTAGGCCTTTGATGTGTAGTTGTATGAATACCGCAGTCAACTTATTGTCACGAATGCAGTTTCTCGGAAATACATAGTTTTCGAACTACTCT